AAAAAAAAAAAATTATAAAAAATTTGGGTCTCATTTTTTGGGGGCCCTAGGCAGGTGCCTCACCTGCCTACCCCTTAAGCCGACCCTGGGTTTAGTCTTTAAAATTTCACCTGCCTACCCCTTAAGCCGACCCTGGGTTTAGTCTTTAAAATTTCAGATGAAACATACAGTATTTTCATATAACATTTTTTATATAATATGACATGATAAAAGATGATTGATTAATTTTAAATTAAAATAAATTTTCACCAAATTATCTTTTATCATATCATTTTATATAAGAAATGTTATATAAAAATATTATATGTTTAATATTACTCTCAAGTATTTACATAGGTTAATTTCACTTTTTAAAATTTAAACTGTTTGGTTCGTTTATTTTAAACTAGAGCAATTCGCGCGCCTATATAAAGCGCCAGTCTAAAAGCTGCGCCTCATTTTAAAATTTCGAATTCATTAAGATACGAGAGAAAGAGATGAGGAAANCGCCAAGCGCATCTCAAGTAACCATGCTTTTGTCTTACGCATAAGGTTTTTAACCTTCTTCAAAGTTACGGCTTACGATGAGCGTGGCTGCCGTGGAGTTTAAACAACATTGGTGTTCTCATAATATGGAGGGATTAGGATTACGCATGTGTCTGTGTGTGAACCCTTTTTGTCTGACAAATCACGGAGGCCCTCACTCACAGTCAGTGTTTTAAAACCTAACCCGGGGTGAAACTCGGCAAAGTTTTCGGGTCTCGGGTTGTCCGGTTGACAAAAACTTTTAAATTCATTCAAATATGCCCCTGAAAATTACATTTAAGTCCCATATGTTTGAACTTTATCAAACGCACCCCAAATACAAATCGACCGGCGACTGATTGGCGACGGCAGCACCGCAGATGCAACCCCAATCGTCTATTGAGCTCATTTCCATTAAAATCCACCCAATATCTAGCCGAAATAGGTTCGATTTCGGCCAGATCTCACCGACGTCGGCGTTGGCATTCCGAGCCAGATCTCATCCACGCCGGCGTCGACAACCCTCCCTATCACCCAGAAAACACTCATCTATTCCTCCCGACCAAAACCCAGCTCACCCCACCCCCGTTAGCCTCGCCAATCGCCGGCAAAATTCCATTGTTGCCGCTGCCATATTTATTCGATTTCCGGTCGATTTACTCACCGGAAATCAACGCCGTCACCGCCATTACATTCAGCGGCACTTAGTCTTCAAAAGCCCCAACCTTCCGGCCATTGATTGTTCGCCGATCATCCTCCCAAATCTTATGATTTTGGGGTGAATCGGAAAAGTTAAACCCGGCCCGTTGAAGCCTCCGGGTCCCGGTTCAACCGATTTAATCGGCCGGGCCGAGCCGGGTTTTAAAACACTGCTCACAGTAGTCTGTGACTGTGACTGTACCAAAGACCAAACTCCATATTATGGAAAGTTACACTATAACCCCTATAACCTTGCCTGTGAAACTTTCTTACACAACTCCGATATGACAATTTTTATCATTGGTTAGCTCGCAAATAAGCAAATGAGACTTATTTTACAAGTTGACCAATGACGAGGTATCATATCAGAGTTATAAGAGAACGTTTGTGGGAAGAGGTTGTGAGTGTGGGTGTAGCATTAGGAGTGTTCAAAAGTGTACTGGTTTTTTGGTTTAGGAAAATTCTTGAACTGAAATCGAATCGATTTAGAGAAAAATCGATTTTTCGGTTAACTAGTTTGAAAAAACCGATTAATCGGTTTTCCCCTTGAATTGGATTAAACTTTTTTTTTTTTTAAATTTCATGAATTAAATTATAAACATCAATAATACATATCCAAATAAAAATTAAACATTTATACATATTCATTGACCACAACTAACAATACATTAAAAATTGATACAAATAAATTTAATTTTTATTTTATTTTAATATATAATATCCATTAAGATTGTCTTTTTTTTTTTTTTAGTTTAATATATAGTATATATATTTTAGTAAACCAGTTAATAAAACCGGTTTCGGTTAAGCGGTTTGCATTTTCACCAAAATTGAAAAACCTAAAATCTTGTTTTTTGAATTCTTTTAATTGTAACTGAACCAGTTTTTCGGTTCGATTCAATTTTTTCATTTTTTTGAACACTCTCATATAGCATTGCTCTTACCCAATACTAAGGCTCCGTTTGGTTCATTATTGGGTAGTTTTTAGAATAATCTTTTGAAAAAAAGTTAAATTGGGTGGGTATTACGATGTAGAATTTTAAAAATTAACATAAATACCCCCTATATTTATTTATTTACTAAACAGCCCCAAATATAATATTCAAAATAAACAAAACACCCCCAATCCACTCATAAATAAGGACAGTCGGCCACCACCGCCGGAGAGTGGCCGGAGCCACCGTATCGGCTTATGATCGGCTCGATATTGCCAGTCGTGCGCCGATATGTCCTTTTTCGGCCAGATCCACTGTGGATCTAGTTAGAAAATGCCAGACCTGCGGCTAGATCTAGCCATTGACAGCCATATTTGATTGTATTTGCTCGTCAACGACGGCCAAAGATACAGCTATCGTTGATGGTCAACGACGACCATGTGTTTGCTGTTGACGACTGGCTACGATGGATCTGGCCAGAAAAGGCTAAATCGGTACACTATCGGCCAGATTTAGTCGGTAGTGCGCCGTTATACCAGATTCTGGGTATTTTCTGATGGTGGTGGCCAGAATCTGGTAAATGTGGGTTGCTGGGGTTTTTTTTATAATTTTTTAAAAAACATTAAGGGTTTTTAATTAAATTAACAAATTTAGGGGGTTTAAAAAAAGTTGAATAATATTTTGAGTTTTTACAATTTTACTGTTTAATTTTATTGAGAATAGTAATAATAGTATTCCCAAATGTGAGCCAAAGGAAGCCTAAGAATTTCTCTCGATATTGTATAACCATCAGATAACAACAACTACTTTTTTTTAACAATTTTATTCTCATATTATTTTCTCCTGCGTTATATTGTACAAGGAGTCAAGGACCAAGTGTTTGAAATATCATTTGTTTCAAATAAAAGTTATTATTAAAAAAATATATATTATATGAATGAACAAAGTTAGGTTGGACAGGTACTTAATTACATGGTCAGAGGCTCTAAATGTGGATAATCCTTTTCCATTTCTTCAAGTGACATGGATGATGGACTCATTGTCTTCTTGAGAGGTCCAAATTACATTTACTGCCAGCAAGAATTAAAACAAAAAAAAAACAATAAGAATAAGTAACTAAATCAAGAAAAAATCAAAAATTGAGATTGAGAGAGATGATTCTTAATTTAATACTCGTATTTCATCATAAGCATCTGTATGTATGAAAATGTTGAAGCTTCTTCAAGGCCATCTTAAGGTCTCCATTGTTGTGTATTTTTTTTTTTTTTTTTTAAGTGGGTAATTTTCTTACTCTTTCAACACCCACCCATATTACCACCTGAAAATGAAGAAATATAATGTCTTTAAAAGAAGATTAATCTAACTAGAAGTCAAATTTCCTAACTACCGATTAATCATCGACCATCTATCACCAAGGTGCAAGCACACCAAGTTCATTCGAAGGGTTTGAATCTTGTGCGACACCCATTGGCTTCCTTTTTTAAAGTAACTCAAAACAATAATAATCGACTTAATAATATTAGTTAAATTGAAAATAAATTAGTCCACTTAATCAATATCTAATTAATGGTTGCCTTGGGCAGTTCTTTACTTGAACATTATTTTGACTCGGTTAAACTTCAAATTTAACCTTTTATTATAGATATGTAGTACAAGGTTTGAGAGATGGGACGCATATCGAAAATTTAAGGGTGCGTTTGATTCATTATTTTGGATAGGATTTTGTGAATAATTGTGAGTAGTTAGATAAGGGAGTATTACGTGGTAAAATTTAAAAATTTATCAAAAAACCCCAAGGTTAGCTAATTGAATTAAACACCTCAATATGTAAAATGATAAAAACACCCCCACCACCCGCAATGCTAGATTCCGGCCCCCACGTGGTGGCTGAAAAATTGCGTTACGACATAGACAGGTCGGATTTGTGTCGTAATACATTGATCTGGCCGAAAAAGGCCAAATCTACGACCAAATGTGGTCGTCGACGGCGCCAAACTGACGGCCAGATCGATGAATAACAGCAAGTTCCGAGTTTGGTGTAAGCCGTTGTGATAGATTCTGGCTACCACCGATGGTGGTTGCTAGAATTTGGCAAGTATGGGTGAGTGGGGGTGTTTTTGCTAATTTTTAAACCTTTTTTTCTGGGTGTATTTAGTGAAATTAATAAGCTTAAGGGGTCTAAAAGTAATTAAAAAATACACTAATATTTATGGAATAATGTGTCAAACAATATTTGAGGAATATGATTGGGAATATGAGTAGAAATATTGAACTAAACGCACCCTAAATTATTTTCTGTATGAGTGGGAGATATTAAATAGAAGCACAATGGAGTTTGCAGTTGTTTTTATTATATTTTTCATTTTATTGTTGACATTATTTTCTTCTTAAAATTTCAAATAAAAATGGCATTTTGAATGAAGAATAGATTCTGTTATTGGATTTAGTTAAGGCGGCAACTAAGGTTGATTCGGAAATTAATTAATTAATTAAAAGTCTACGAGTTATAATTTGTGTATTATATTTTCGATATGAATAAATTTTATTTTTAGGGTACGTAAGTAATTTACTTATTAATAAAATGAATTTGTTGTGTAAAAAGTTTTTGCATAATATTATACATACATACAATATTTTTATATAACATTTTTTATATAATATAATATGATAAAAGATGATTGATTGATTTTAATTTAAAATAAACTTTTATCCAATCAACTTTTATCATTTTTTTTTTTTGTAAAAAAAATATTGCATGAAATTATTATAAACTAGTGCAATTCGCGCGCCTATATAAAGCGCCACTCTAAAAGCTGCGCCTCATTTTAAAATTTCGAATTCATTAAGATACGAGAGAAAGAGATGAGGAAAAGATTAAAGAAAAGCACCGAGGGACTTCGCAGTTGCAGCTCTCCTTGCTACAATGACTACGATCTTTGTTCAGATTTCAATTGGTACTCTCTATCTCTAATTTCGTTTAGAAAGTATATTTTGAATTCGAAGGTTATCTGAAATTCTATTCAGATTTCTTAGACAACTATATGGTTGCATCTATCAGATTTCACTGTTGCTTTATTTCGATCTTTGATGTACAATTTTGAGCTGTTTGTTTTAAATTCAGTCGACTTCAGCTATATTTAATTTTGTAAGGGCTCTGCAATTTGAATTTGAAACGTACTAGCTCATCGGTTATTAATGTGAGATTCTGGTTCGTTTCTTCGATATTTTTTGTATTTCTCTGATAAAACGAAGTTCAAAATAAGTTGTAACGTTCGTTAATTCTAAAACTTGGAAATCCTAATCTGTTTTCTGCTGAAATAAGAACTCTGCTTCTATTTTGTAGCACGGTTTAATCAATCTCGTGAAAACTGAAGTACTTCATTTGGATTCCTTGACTACTCTTTGGTGGCAGAAAAAAATACAATTCAACAAGATACTAAATCTCATGTCCTCTATCTATTTCAACTGATAATTAGATCATTTAATTTGCAATATTTTAATTATCGAGGAAGTCGGTCTGTTTTAAAGACACAATTGTTATGACTTTCCTTTATTTTCTTGGTAACCAAACAGATAATCATGTTGAATGCATTTGTAAATCAGCCTGTTGATTTCGTGCTTTTTAGATTTTTAATACTTGCTTCATAAGAAATTCTATCGAGATTTAAACAGAGTTATCACTCTTAATTCTCAAGCTGATGATATGAGTTAAGTTTTAAATCAGATTTGTAGTTGATGTAGTTTTAATTCACAAGTTTATTTTTTATATTTAATAAAAAAGGGATCAAGAGGATATATGGACATATATAGCGAAGTTTTTGGATGGAAAATCTCTGGCGAAGTTGGCATTGACGAACAAATGGTTGCACGGCGTCATTATGCACGACAGCGTCTGGAAGTTTGCGTGCTTGCGTGATCTTCAGGTCCCCGATCCATGCCACGTGTCTTGTAGTTGGGTCAAGCTCTACGCTTCTGCTTTTGGTAATGACCTTAGTTGCATTTATTGTAACTTTATTTTGCTGCCATCACCATATGATCAAATTCTCATTGATGAATTTATCTGCAGATGGGAGCCACTCTTTCTTGTTCCGCCACCAAGACAAGTTTCTAGGTAATTCTTTCTTCTTGCCTTTTCCCTTCAGCCTTCGGGTGCTTCTCATTCTGAGACCAGAGACTTGTTTAAAATTGTAAATCAAAATCCCCGTCAGCCTTCGCTCACCTATTTTATGGTCTAGTTGCACAAATTGACAGCTATGAAGTAGGATTTTCAAATTTGGAATGGTATTATAGTTTGTGTTTGGCAATCTGACAAAAGACATTTTTTACATGGCTTTACTCCTTCCTAGATAGCTAACTAAGCTAAGTAGGGGACTAGGGGTTTTCCTCTGCCAGATATTGTCTAATACAAAGAAGATTGAGTATACAAAAGCATATTTGTAAATACACCCACAGTATGATAACTCTTCATTGTTTTTGGTTTTCTGATGGGCAAATTAGACTGGATGCGAATTGGTGCATTTCTTTTCCACTCGCAAGAAGCGCTCTTGACTGATAAGTTCAACTTACCCGTGAAGATTGTTAAAGGAAAAACTATAGAGGATATGTTGGAGGCCTGCGGATCATGCTTGTTGAAAAACATTAAAACTGGAATCTGGATTGCTGGTAAAGTTGACTAAAGTACCCTGACATTTCTCTTAGGGTGCATTTATAATTGGAATGTCATTGTCATTCATCCAATTAATTGTTTACACATGGTTAATTCTTTCAGATTTGCAGCTTGTTCGATGCCCTGCTTGTAATCTCAATACATGCGAAGGTGAGAATGAATATGTCCAACTGCTGATAAAAGTAGGGAATTGAACTTTTTCCATTTTCATTATTTCATTTTAGTTTGCCAGATAAGATTTGTGGTTGTGGAATATGATTCAAGACATGCAACAATACTTGAGCGACCCAGATTACGGATTTGGGGTGGAGGTTTCGTGTCTCATATAAGTTAATGCATGTATTAGAACCCTAGCTAGGGTCTTCAAAATCTGTTTATCTTCACGGTTCTTGGACCACATATCATGTATTTTATTTGTTCTGAACTCCCTTTGTTCTTCAAAGATGCACGGTTTTCCATCTTAATTTACCATGGTAGCTCCTTGATTGACAATATTTAACCCATAGAGTATTTTTGGGTGCCCCTGCATACTGTAAAAGCTTTGTGAATTACCAACGTAAAACTGAAAAACTATTAGTTTAACCTATTAAAACTGCCCTGACGATTCATACAATTGTATTACAGAAGTCTGTAATTTATGCAGAGACAAATTGAACAATTTGAAGAGGGAATTAATTTTTTTTGAAATGAACCGTCATACAGATAGCAGGTTTACCAACGCAAAATCTTTTATTAGTTAATTTTTCAAAGGCCCTGAAGCTTTTTTGGTTCAATAGAAAGGTATGTGAAGTTAGGCAAAGTAAGAAAATCTGCTTCTTTATGTAGGAACAATGCAAATGCTGGATGCTAGGCATATAGAGCTGTTTCTGAGTGAGGGATTCCAGGATGGGAGCTGGAAGTATGAGTTTATTGGATCTCATAAAATTGAAAAGAATGTACAAGGAGCTTCTGCAGCCATATTTGATGTTGAACATCTCAAGGATTCTCAATCAGCAGGTAAATCTCCATACCCCATCTCAATCTTACTCATTGTGTCATGTTAGTGTCACATAGAGACATTAATTGACCTTTTGTCGTTACTGGACAACTGCAAAGCTATGGTCTGCTAGCATCAAAAGCATTTTGAGGTGAAAACATTTAGGTCAGAAGCCTGATATATTCTCAAACAAGCTAGCAAAAATAGATTTAAATTAATAGTTGTGGCTGTGTGCTTTACTTGTAAACGAGGTTTTAGCAATATCCAATATAAATGCTGAAACAGCTTTCCGTTAGGAAACTTGCAGCGGGTTGGGAAGAGAACAGGAGTTGCTGCTCTGAAATTTCAAGCTTTCATTGTTAAAAAAGTAAATTGACAGACTGTTTTGCTGAACTGCAGTTAAATTATATAAAAATAAGTCGCTTACTATCGTAATTTCATAGCTCCAATATCAAGTAATCTTATCCTACTGACTGATTACTACTGAGATACCGTATGAGCCAGTTCCCTGTATCAACAAAATGATCTAATCCACTTTCCAAATGTTTGGCAGGAGTCTTTAATCTAAATAAATGGGGAGGGAAACCCAGTGACATGCAACCAAAGGCTATAATCGCTTTCCATGCAGTTGGAGTCAACACCAATTTAAAGGAAAATGAAGGTACGTGATTTTCAGCATGTGAAAACTACTTGTGAATTTGCATAATCTTAGCAGCTTTCCCCTCTAGCCCCTAATAATGACTCTTATTAACTTTTGGCATATTGCTCATATATTTACACGTTTTAAGTATAATTCGATTGTTCGATGCTACAGTTTAATTAAATTATTATGATTACCCTTTTTTCGCTTTTTCTGGGAGCAGGAATTCTCGTGAAGTACCACATCATGAGAGCTGGGGCTAATGGAGATATTGTTTCTATTAGAATCTCTCAGCAGCTCCTGTAGTTCTCTTTTCTTACACATACCATTTTTTTATAGCAAATATCAGATACTTTTCTCTTGGAGACAATTGAAATGTTATTTCAAAGTTTTAACAGGAACATATCCTTCACAAAACAATTTGATTTTAACCCCATTGTAGAAAATGATAGAAGAATTGTATGAACTGGTCGCCCCTGCGAAAATTCTTTTCTACTATGCTACACAGAAATGACACATATCTATACCCTATTGAAGTCTGAAAAATAAACAATGGAGTCTTGTAAGTGTAATTGCTCGAGTAAATGCGTATTTTTTAATGTGTGTGCTGTAGTGAAGTTTGATTCTGACCCAATTAGTTTTTCATATCCCTTTGAAATTCTGATGCTTATTAGCTTATATGTTATCGTTTAAGTTTTTATTAATTTAGGATTTCTACCTTCTGACTTAAGAAAACACTATAAAATTACATGTGTTGTCAGAAATGGCATTCACAGGCGCCCAACCAATTACTTTGACGTAAAGTTATTGGCTGTAGCAAAATTTACAAAATTGCTGCACTAAGTCTTTTGACTTTTAGGTTATATATTTAATTTATTAGTGTAATTAAGTTTTAAAACAAACTCATCTCGTCATCCACAAGGCTTGCCACCCTCGGAATCAGTCGTTCCAAAATCATGTGTATCTTAATTTTCTTCTTTCTCCCGTTGTTCTTCCCTCTTGTATATGCAGAATATTGCCAATCTTCTGTTTGTGGCAATAACATCTCTATTCGATTTCCCTTCCAACTAGAAGACAAGCAACAAAAAAACTGTAGTTATCCTGGTTTCGGCCTTGATTGCAATAGTGAGGGCATAACAACTCTAAACCTTCCTTATTCTGGAGAATTTTTTGTGCGTGATATTGATTATCTGGCACAACAGATATATCTCCATGACCCAGATAAATGCATACCCAGACGGCTCCTAAGCTTTAATCTGACAGGTTCTCCGTTTGTGGCTTCTTATCGTAACTACACCTTCTTAAGCTGCCCAGCTCAGGTCACGAAGTCCCGCGAGTCTGCCATTGATTGCCTCAGTAATTCCACAACCTCTGTCTTAGCTACTTCTTCTATTAGCCTTGTGAATTCGATGATGGAATCGTGCCAGATAGTTCTAACGTTGCAAGTTCCAGTTTCATGGCCAGTTGAGCTTGATGAAGGATTCTCAACTGATCTTAAAAATGATATTCAGTTAACATGGTATAAACCTGATTGCGGTGATTGTGAAGCAAGGGGAGGAATATGTGGGTTTAAGAGCAGTAGTAGTCAAGAAATCGCTTGTTTCAATAATACTCAACCAGGTAATGATCTTTTCTTAATCTTCGTATTGCATATTTGCTAATCCCTCAACTTAACCTTGATTATCAGAACATCTCATAAAGGTTACAGCAATTGAGTGCTGACTGGGTCAGAGCATTCTTGTAGGAGGATATAATAGTTGATGAAATATTTAACATAAAAGGAATAAATGGTTTTGTATTGGTCAATCTTGATGATAGGATGCATGATGCATACAGATTTCTCTTTCTTTAAACGCAATTGACTTGAGTAGAGATATTGTTTATATATTAAGATAGCTTTTGGCATAGAATAAAGAGAATAAACTAACTAAAAAAACAACGTCAACTACATAAGATCTGAGCATAAGGGAATGAATACGTTTTCTTCTCTTATACAATACTACCCAAGCCAAGCAGTGGACTGCAAATGACAATGTCCACCCTTCATAAAGGCCAAAAGTCAAAACCCAACGAATTCTTCTCTAGTTTTCTACCCGGAGCTCCAGTTCTCGTCAAACGTATTTTAAGTTGGCTATCAGGCCAGGATATTCTGTTGGTTAAAGTATTTTATATTATAAGGTACTTATCTTAGGTCCTTGAGATCTTTGGAGGTTGGTGCTGGTTAATCATGTTTATCTATTGAATTCTAGTGGTAGAAAATGCAGGAACTCGTCACTAACCCGTAGGTAAAGTTTGTTTAGAGATTTTGAAGTCATTTTATAGATGTGTTTTCCTTTTCCCGACCTCTTGCCTTCTAAACATATTTTCCATACCCACAGTAGGTTTCTTTTTTCTCCAAAATGCATATTAATCAATGGCTTTAATTTGCAGGCCAATCAAACAAGGGTTTCCTTGTTTTTAAGATCATTTGTCTGACCATTGCGGTACCAGCTGTTTCATGTGCGGCTGGAATCGGAATTTATGTATGCTTCATGGACAGCAGTGCCCACCGCGAGCGTAACACTACCACAGCAGCAGTGTCACCACAACCACAATCCAACGTCCTAATGACGGGTCTGGATGAGTGTACCATTGAATCATATGAAAAGGTAATTCTTGGTGAAAGCAAGCGAATACCAGGGCCTAACGATACCACCTGTCCCATATGCTTGTCGGAGTATCGCTGCAAAGATACAATCAGATGTATACCCCAATGCAGACACTGCTTCCACACTGATTGCATCGATGAATGGCTCAAGATGAACAGTACGTGTCCAGTTTGCCGAAACTCTCCGTCTCCTTCCCATGCTACCGCCCGAATTACGTAGTGTTTATTGTTTAGTACCCGCCGACCTGTCTATTTCTTATGTACAAAATTTGAGATTGTTTATTATTATAACAAATTCTCTTTTTGTAAAATCAGCTGTTTTGGTTTTCTACTAAACTAGTTTTCAGCTTTGCCAATAATCTTCCGAACCCAAGTAAAATTCAATGTTAATACTTAATAGCATTCATATTTTCGTCCAAATTAAAATGAGGTAGATATCAAGATGTTAAAAGAGGAAAAAATGACAATTTAGTACTAGTATTATTACACTGCCAAACAAAATTTATATGAAATTACAGGTCAGCATATCATACAAGACACTTTAATATAGCCTCATTTGTTTAAAGCCCATAATTCATCCACAACAGTACCAAGTCAGATAAAACACATTACATAAAACTCACTTTTTTGCAAGCAGCTTCTTTGGAAGCTTCTCCACAGGGGTTGATTTCAGCAGGAAAAGCCTGGCAGCACGCTCTTGCAAGGTGCCCCCACATTTTAGCCCACGTACTTGGAGTTCAGACTTTAATCTTTCCATGCCAAAAGCCTATCAAAACAACAAAAGAATCAAGTTAAACGAACTAGTGACTGATTGTAGCAAGATTAAAGACTAATTAACACTGACCACAATGTAAGACAGCATTGCTAAGGAACTATGATAGAGACAATTCAATTCATTCAATGGTATGAAAATTTATTTGAAAATGATTTCATATGCAGGATTCATGTCAACCAATCAGGAAGAGAATGAATGAATTCAAAAATGGGAGAATTTTTTGTAGAATGCATAAAACTAACTGATCATTCTTATCCTCATGAGGATAAACTATATTTCATTGGTCAAGAAATGAGGATCAGACTAAATAGAATGCAGCCAAAGCCCTAAGGAAACATGCAAATAGATTAAATGATGATATATATTATGAAAGTTAATTTAGACAGCAAGTAATTTCTTCAATTTATCTTCTAAAAGAGGTTACCAAAATTCCCTTAATTACATTATTATGCACACAATGCTCATAGGTAAGTCCTTGAAACAAAAAAATTAAAATTAAAAATTAAAAGAATTATGCAATACCACTATCCGGATATCAGACCAATCAATCAAGTCAAACAAACGAAAAAGTGAAAAAAAAAAACTAAAGAAATTTAATATAGCAAGCACACCTCCATCTCCACTGCTGAATTGAATTCATTGAAATCTAATGGCCTCTCCAATTCTACAACATTTGTAGAGGCAACAACTGCTTCTTCAGGAACTCTGGACTTACATTCAGAGGCACCAGTAGCTTCAGCATCCATTGGTCTGCTATCATATCCTTCCTCATTTCCTGAACTCAAAACATTTGGGGAATGACCAACTACTTCCTCTGTATTTCCAGATGCAGGTCCGCCACAGGACTTGTGCTCAGATTCAATTGCAGAAACAAACTTCGGCTCCAAACAGGAGGCTCCAGTGCTCTGCACCTTTTCTTCATGAATCTCAGGTTCAACCACAGCATTCTCTTCATGGCTTACATCTTCACCAGAACATCCACTGGATTCCAAGTTTTGCTGCACAAGAATCTCTTTCTCTTCTTCAGAACCACTCTCAGAAGAACCTCCACCAGAAAATTCTCCATCCGGTTTCCCACCCGTGACTGAACCTGTACTCCCCTCAGTTTCCTTATTTGAATCTGATTGATTACTATTATTCAAAACAATAGATTTCTCATTTTCCTCACCATCGTCATCATCACTATCTTCATCTTCACTTTCACCCAATTTTCTCTTCCCCATCCTAACAAAACATATGCAAAGTGGAACATCAAAACCAAAATAAAACAGAAAACAAATTTCTCAAGAATTTGATAATTTCAGTAATGCTCTATTTGATAGCATATAAAATGAAGTATTTTCTACAGCCAAACACATATTACACATTGCATTAAACTTTCCATTGTTTTCCCCATATTTCTCAAAAATCCTAACAGATTCAATCGAATTAAAGTGAAAACTTCTGGATTCAGTTGAATCAGATAATGATAAAAAGAAACTTGTATACACACAGAACAAGAAACCCTAACTCCATTCCTAAGCTACACCAACTGAATCATTGAAACAGTTATATTAAATGAATATAATTAAAGATGAGCCCTTACCAAATCTTCAACTTCTTGGCCTCCGCTGCTGCTGTTCCAACGGCCTTTCGTTTACCATTGCCACACGCCTCTCTCACAGATTCCTCAACCTTAGCTACACATTTGGCCGACTCCTCTCTATACCTAGCCACGTACTTCTCGGCCTCTCCATCTCCAACTCCCTTTTTCCCTTTTTTCGCCGCCTTCTTAATAAATTCCTCCGCAATTCTCTCCAACCTCCTCTCCTCTTCCTCCGCCTTCCACTCCTCCAACTTCTTCTCCGCGTTCACGTGCCTCAACCTCCGTCCACTCATATCTCGACAGGCGTCAAAATTATTTGTCTTCTTCTGACCAGCCTTCGTAGCCGCGCCACGGAGTAAAGACCCGAACCCACCTTTTCCTCCCAAAAGAGGAAGCACAAGGTGGAAGGTGATGTTGTCATCGGAAATTACGGATCCGTCCTTCAATTGGAGGCCAGAGTAGATGAGTCGCTGAAGGTGGGTGGGTACTTTGGTGGCTTCATGGATGCGATTCTTGATCTCGTGGCCATACACACGTGGCGTAGAGAAATTTAGGGTTGCGGTTTTACCGTTCAGAAGCTTCACGAAGAGTCGTAATGGCTTCAGACTTATGTCCTGAACCTGATCTTCCATCTCTTTGCTTGTAGAGAAGATAATCTATTTGTGAATTATGAGTGGACAAATACGAGTAATCTTTGATTTGGGGCTATTGTGTATATATGAATCATAAGAGCCCTAATTGCTCCCTTGTTTTTTATATAATTATTTATAATTTCATTAATATTTTTTCGAAAATACAGAATTATTACTTCACACGTGTACGTTGTAGGTCCCATTCCCACGAAAGTGAACACTTTGGCTGACATGGCATATTCTATCCGAGATCTTAGACGATGCGGGATAGAATGGATATCGGGTATAAATAAAATCCGAACCAAACTAGTTTACCCGATCATTATAAAAGAGAATGACTAGAATTTAATTTCGTCGATCTCAGCGAGGAACAAAGATATGATGAAGAAGGAAGACCTTACGGATAAGGGTCGGACCTTGTCTGTGGATCCAAATCTACCACGATGGGCATGCCAGAACTGTCGCCACTCCCTTTCTATCGTCGGCGCCGATTCTTACGCCGACAAATACTTAAACGACTCTGCTCGCTCCAGTTAGGGTTTTCTCTCTCTCCTGCTATTAATTTTACCACTAGCCATCATTAATCAGTTATATTTGGCGCTTTTATTAATCAATTGTTGAATGTTGACTTATTTTTAGTCGAATTATTTTTTGTCATCGATATGAATTCCTTGTTTTCATTGTTTTTATGTGAATTTTAGCTTATAACCGTATTTATAAGTTCCAATTTTGTCACAATGGCGATTGAGGTTTTAGTACTTAGATTTAACTCTTCTAAGTCGTAGACCTATATACAGCTGAGAATCCTATTCCGTTATAAGCTATTTGCAATGTCATCGTATACATAAACAGATTTCAATTGAGTGCAATCTATTTGGGTTAACATGCAGTAGCACTCAGGCTTATATCTTGAAATGTCGTTAGTGGAATAAACTTGGTGTTATTGACAATGAGTTTGGATGGACACATGCAGCAATGCAGGGCTCTTCAATTCATGCGGCCAACAGTGTGCTAGGTTCAACCAGGATGGATAATTCTTTTGTTGTGTTGCCAAAACAAAGGCTTCAGTTGCAAGGGGTACCTCCACGTCCTCGTAGTGCAGCTAGCCAACCTGATGTGGGCCAGTCTGGAAAATCAATGGATGAATCTTTTGTGGTTGTGTACAAGTCTGAGTCTCCGTCTGATGGAAGTGGGGCCCAATTACTGTCACCAGAAGGAGGAGCAAATGGTCCTTTACAGCCAAACAATTCTGGCTTCCATTCAACTATAACTGTCCTTAAACGTGCTTTTGAGATTGCCAAAACCCAGACACAGGTATCCACAACTTTTTTTTATATTGGTTTTCGCACTTTTCTTTTAATGTTTGAGCTTCTTGTTAATGTCCGATGTTGATGTTTCAAAGTATTTAGATTACAATCTTGGTGTCTCCTTCCAGGTTGAGCAACCTTTATGTCTTGAGTGCATGAGGGTGTTGTCTGATAAACTTGATAAGGAGGTTGAAGATGTAACAAGGGACATTGAAGCATATGAAGCCTGCCTTCAGCGCTTGGAAGTGGAGTCACAAGATGTCCTTAGTGAGGCTGATTTTCTCAAGGAGAAATTAAAGGTGCATACTTGGAAATTGTTGTTGATGTATATGATTCATTCCTGCATTTGTAAACATAAGTATATTAATTATTAATAATCCATAAGGTTGTTGTAATGATTAATATACTTGACAAAATGCAAGTGGTATTTGGGAAAAGACATGGTCGGCTCATTATTACAAATCATTTGAATATACATTCTAGTTTACTATATATTGTTCAAGGAGCTGGACAAAATGATGAATGAAGTGAAAGGCTAAATCTCTAAATTAGGATTACATCTCAGCATCCTAATTTATGTTTAATTGATATCAGCACGAATAGGTTTTGAAATGTTTTGCATCTTGAGTACAAAAATTATTTATCTTCTCCTGATGCTTTCTAGATTGAGGAAGAAGAAAGAAAACTTGAAGCAGCAATAAAAGAAACAGAGAAGCAGAGTGCAGAAGTACATGCTGAACTGAAGGAACTGGAGTTAAAATCTAAACGTTTTAAGGAACTGGAAGAGCGGTATGTTTCTTTAACAGATACTCTTTGGCTAATCATGCCATTTACAGCCCCCACTTTGTGTTTGTATATCAATATAAACTGTGATGCTCTCTACTTCTTTTAATTACTCTTTAAGTTCATTCTTTTTGTAGTTGACATGCACTTTATATTGATAGAACCTTGTGATCGGTAGTTGTTCCTTTTTCATGATTCTCAAACTAAATGTTGACAGGTATTGGCAGGAGTTCAATAATTTTCAATTTCAATTGATTGCTTATCAGGTGATTTGATTGTCTTCCCTGTCATTTTTGTCCTCCAATAGCAAATTAGTTTAAATTGACTTCAGAAGTTCCTAGGGATTTGATCATTACAATAATAATTTCATTGTTCCTTTTCGTAATGGGGCTTCCAAATTATCCTTAATAGTTATATGAGAACATTAATTCAACCACATCGTAATAGATTGATTTGGTAAATATAGTTAATTGTTTTCTTATAGGTCATTTGTTATGCTGATCTTCTATGGTTGGAGAATACACACTTCTGTTATCATCTTGATATAACATTTATAGAAGTTTTTACACTAAAACCATCGCTCATCATCTATGGGTTCAATTTGCTTTTACTGACATCTTCTGTGATTAAATAATTATCTCTTAACAGGAAGAGAGAGATGCAATCTCAGCTAAAATTGAAGTTTCGCAAGCACATTTAGAGTTGTTGAAGAAAACCAATGTAATGAATGATGCCTTCCCCATCTTTCATGATGGAGAATTTGGAACAATCAATAATTTTCGGCTTGGACGACTTCCTAAAATTCCTGTAAGAGAAGAGATCATTTCTTTTAAATCTTTTGAGAATTTTCATTCGCTTGCTAATGGAAATGTTGTCCTTTTGTTGGCATACCGCAGTTTGAAATACTTATACGTTGGGTTTATAGTTTGATAAAATTGAAATAAATGGTGCTGCATACATCTTTATATAACTATTGACCGCATAAAAGGGGGATTGCTTCCTTCATTTGTTCTTTGTATCATATTCCACTGTTCTGTATTTTCCTGCAAGATGTTTTCAGATAGATTGGATTAAGGCTTAAATTATACTTTCAAATTTCTGTGGAAACATTTAGGTCGAATGGGATGAGATTAATGCTGCCTGGGGCCAAGCTTGCCTTCTCCTCCACACAATGTGCCAGTATTTCCGTCCAAAGTTTCAGTATCCTTTTCAATGAAGCATTACTGATTTCTGCTTTCTATTAATTGTTCATGTTATCCTCTTATGGTTGATGATGTTTAGTACAGAATACGTACACATACAAGTGTATACCCATCTATGTAGATGGGTGTGCCTTTTTAGCATGGTGCTTACCTCTTAATATGAATTTACTGTTTTTGTTGCTGAAGTCATCATGCCAAGATTTCTCAAATTTTTACAAAGGATGAAATTTGACTGTATCATTCAGTAACTAGAATGCATCAGTGTTAATTGTCCAATTTACTGGAGAAGCTCTATTTTTCTGAAACATTCAGTAACCAGAACTATGCATTTTAAATTGTTCTATCCAATTCTGCTGTAAAAGGATATGTGATATCCTTAATCAGTAACCTTCAGCTATCGGATAAAAATACTTCCTATGGGGAGCTACCCACGGATAATGGACAGCAGCAACAGTACTTATGAACTGTAAGTACTAACTACTGCATTGGTGTTGATTTGGATTTCTTTAAGTTGATGGAAGTGTAAGTCGGTTATGGTTGAATGTGGTGCATGTTTTAATTTGTTACATGGTGTATAAAGTGCAGTTTTATCTAAATATACTTGATTGATACTCAAAAGATAATTTCTTACGCTTGGCTAGAAATTATTACTTTCCATATTAATATTATATGATAGAAATAGCTGTGATATAGCAGAGATTCAGGGAGATATCCTTAGATTGGATGTAGAGACCATGCCTCTATTTCATTCATCAGTTTTTCATATTTTTCTTATCGTTGAATGTTAATTGATGTGAGAATATCTTAGGTTTGGTCCGGTGAATTTGTTTTGGAGCACTCGCTACGACAGAGCAATGACATTGTTCTTGACATGTCTGAAGCACTTCGCTGAGTTTGCATATTCTAAAGACCTAGAAAATAACATTCCACCTGATAAATGTTTCAAGTTGCCATACAAGTAAGTTCTCTTATCTCTAAAAATAGAGCAAATAAGTATGATTAGATGTTTTCTTCTTTCATGCTTCTAAATGTTTCCTATGATTATGGACAAATCATGCAGGATTGAAAATGACAAAGTTGAAAATTACTCTATCACACAGAGCTTCAATAAGCAAGAAAATTGGACCAAAGCTCTCAAATACACTCTCTGCAATTTGAAGTGGGCTCTCTACTGGTTTGTTGGGAACACTAACTTTCAACCCCTAAATGCAACGGTGGCTTCCCCTACTGAAGTACCTGCTGGAGGATCTGTGTACTCGAAGCGTGGCACTGACATCAAATCTTCAGCTCGTAACTCGTCAAAGCCATGATATAGAAATGTGATTTATGTTAATCAGTATGTAAATAGAAACTGTTCAATATGCTCTGTCTTGTGCAGTTAATGGCATGATTCATTACATTTTAAAGTTTGGCGATATCATTTTAAGAATAAAAAATAAAAAAATAAAAAATTTTAAATCTGGACAAAATATTTGATAGAATTAATAATAGTATTGTGTTAAAGTTTATCACACTGAAATAGTTAATAGTATTTGGTAGAATTACAATCTCGTTTCCTTGCCGATCAAGTACAATTTTGGACAGGTCTCGGGGAGGAGGAATCACAGAAAGTTATCAATTGTCAAGTGCTTTTTCAGCCAAATGGTGCTCTTTGTTTTTTGAAAAAAAAAAAATTATTTTCGTTCACTGTCAGGGACTGTACCGCCAGTTTATATTTAATACCTGTATTCTGGCTCGCAAATATTCTGATATTATAAGCGCGTAGAAGATGCATGATGGCAAATTTAATCCCTGGCCTGCACGATGAAAAGCCTTTTCAACCCTAATACCATGCAAGTATTAATTCATGCACATTTCAATCTTAAGATGGAAGTTGCTTATTCAAGTTGAAATCATAAATCATGAGATTTGCATGTAACAAACACAGAGACCTAACTGATCAAACCATTGGATTGCCCAAGCATATCTAATTGTCTATATATTCGCCTCAGTTACATATTATCAACCCCACCAGCAAATAAAATAATTAAGTTGGGCCAATTATGAATCGCTTAATTGGATTCCTAGCCATTTTCCTATTACTTTCAAGGTCAGCCTTCACTGCACCGTCATGTTCTACTGTTAACCAAGGGCTAGTCCCTTGCCTTGGTTTCATTAAAAGTAACACGGACCAGCCCTCAGCATCATGTTGTTCAGGTACTAAGGCTATCAGCGATGAGGCCAAAACTCAAGGTGATCGTCAAGCTATTTGCAAATGCCTTAAGAAAGCACTGGCAATTGCTGGAACATATGATAAAAATCGTATCCCTCAAATTCCCAAAAGTTGTGGTGTCCCCATTTCTCTCCCTCCAATTGATTCTTCAACTGATTGTTCCACGTAATCTTTCCCTCCTTTTCTGTCTTTTGCGCTTGTATGAAACTGAAAGATTCTAATGTCATATTTTCTGATGCAGGGCTATTGCTGAATATATCTTCTAATCATCGGAAAACACTGCCCCTGCCAGCCGAAATTCTACTGCATTATATAAATGTACCAAATAAATTGTGTCCTGGGATGGACTACTCAATCTTCAATGAAAAAAATTTCAATTTGAATTTAATGAAACACATTCGATGAAATAATTGACAGTAATTATGTACTGTTATGATTTCTCTCTTCCATAATTATCAATATAAAGATCATACTGGTTTCCCATTAAACTAGACAAAAGGCATGTAAAATTAAAGGGGAAGTAAATTTATAATGAAAATTTGTTCAAGAATCAATGGAGCTTGTTCCAGAGGCAGAGAGATAAACGGTAAAAGACACAGCTTGCTTCAAACCTGATACTATTAAAATTTATTATATACGCAGACTTATTACATTGTAACTTTACGTGATAAGACAAAAATCTGGTCAAACTACTAAAGACTAAATTACTTTACAATTGCACCTCTCTAGAAGTCTCTGGCGGTAAAGTCGGGCTCAGCAGGCTTTTGAGGTATAATAAGTGGTGGTAACCTCTGGGTCAATCTGGTGCTGCGTCCACCACTCTGCCGCAATGGTCGCAGTAGATTGGCTGCAAATTTTGATGCATAGATAGTTGCACCAAGGCTTGTAGAGCTCGTCTCTGTTGCCAGAGCATCTTGAAATCTGTCTTCTTCTTCACGTAAGGATTTTGCAAGTTTCTTCTTGCAGTACCGGCGCCAAGCTGCTTGTACAAAACGTGCTGCCCACGTCCTCCACTGTACCGAGTGTAACCTGAAAGCATTATCACCGCAATATGACCCATTATGAACCATCTTTACAATCAAGAAAAATGAATAAAATTAGAAAAACCCGCAGTTCCAATAGAGCCAGCTAAGTAATTTTTAGTCTTTCTCTATCTCACATGATGGCATCAGGGATTAGCAAATCCAATTTCGCCTTCTTTTCATCAATTATTATTTATGTTTAATTCCACACAAATTACTAAGGGCAAGATGAAATTTGTACGTCTTATAGAAAGGTCTTAATTTTTGTGGCGGAATCGTCCTCCAATTAATAGTTAGTTCTATAAGTATCATGGCGTTATCCAAGAGAAAAAAGAGAAATAACATTATTTGAGTTCTTGCCTGAAAATGTGCTGAAGCTGCTTGCTGTTAAGACGCCGATACTGAGAGGCAACGAACTTCAAGTCTTCAGCCATGAGAGCAAAGGCTTCAACCTCTGATAGAGCCTGTACAGTCCAAGTCGAGGTGGGAAGATTGGAGGAGGATTGGGGATCCAAGGCCCACGTAAGAAGAGCTTCTCCACAGAAGTCAGTAGCTTTGAGATAAACAGCATTAAAGAAGCCAGTTCTTCCACCATTAGTGGTTGTAGATACTAGATTGCCTCTCATGACAAAAATCATCTCGTCAACCGGATCCCCCTCGCGAAGAATGAAGCTCTTCTCCGTGTAAAGGACAGGCTTCAGACGATCACACATTGCATCTAATAATTGCTCATCCATTTTCTCAAACATTGGAACCTAAAATAAGTGTTGAAAAACGTTTTAGCTGATCTTTAAACAAATATCTTATAAAGTAGGTATTTTTTATTTTCAAGAAGGTTATGGAAAAAACACTCACTTTCTTGAGTAGATCCCAACAAAGATGATGCTTTATATCCCTCCTGAGATCTTTAGGAAGGTTACGAATTAGAGTGTCTTCTTCAACACCTCTTGTTTCTTGCCATTTATATTGTTCATATTTTCTAATTCGGTCCTTCAGATTTTCAGGGAGCATACGGTGAGACATCCACTGCTCTGCATCTCGTCTCCTCACTCTCATTTCCTCTACTCTAACAGTTTTAGATTGCAAATATTTCTGCAAAAGCAGAAGAAACAATTTTTAGCACTTGACTTCATCAAATCCTGGACTGTGAACTTGTGCTTACAGTCGATCATCTAATATGCACACCGCATGCTCAAAGCATTGATTTCAAAAGACAAAAATAATAAAAATAAAAGAGGCATTACCTGCATATTGCCAATAAGTAGAGCAAACAAAACTAAACCAGAGATTGATATGAAGAAAGCAAAGAAAATCTCTGCCACAAAGGTGCTTGTTTTTAGATTTTGGCCCAAAGAACTGCAAAAAATAGCAAATTACAACTTACATAAATGGCAAATTTCACACACCCATTTCAATGTAAATTTATTTTCATTTCTTCCTCTTTTTTTTTTTAAATCAACATTTAATCATTGGATTCTAACAAATTAGAATATCACATGTACACAAACCTAAGATTACGCAGACCCCACCAAAAGCAGTAAAAGAATTTCTTTGTAAAATCCCTTTCTTCAACCACCCTTGTCCGAAGAGCATCAATGGATATACCAAAGTTGAATTCATTCTTTATGTCATCAGGATCAATAAAAGGGCATGAATTATTCAAAAACACAGCGTTTGATTGATTTTTCTGGCAGTACAACCAATCAAGTTTACATTCAGTCTGAGTCTGATCTTTTTTGCACTTTTCACGCCAGCAGCTATCTTGTCGTTCAATTGAATACAAGTACCAAATGGCTCCAATTATCTGACATGTCACATTTTTCAATGATGAGAAAATCTATATGATCCCTTAGAGATGGTGCTTCAGATTTTTAAAAAAAAAAAAAAAAAAAAAATGTCAAAATTAAACTTACATGACTGGCTAGCATATAAAGAAAGAGATTTAGAGCAGCTCCAGCCTCTGCTGTTTCAGTGAGTATGCCAGAAGTTCTTTTGACATCGTTGGACAATGGATAAAACCGAACAATTCTTGGAACATATTGGCATAAAATAACAGCTTTCAACATCTCCTTTGTGATTAATGAAACTGGGCCTTTCGTAGAGGGGATTATAAGTAAAACTACCACCTGAGAAAGAAAGCATTGTTAAATGGCAAAACTAGTCTGTAGGAATCCTCAAAGAATTTCTACAAAATAAAAGAATCATGTTCTACCTACAGTGAAACTTAATATTTCCTCTCTAAACAGACAGTCGCTCCCAATAGAAGCGCGAGAGAAAAAGAACACAAACCTGTGGTAACGGAAGAATTGCCAGAATGTCAACAATGAAGTAGGAGGTCAAGTATCTTTTGGCTATAGCCGTAGGATCATTAATCAACTCGCCCCTTCCAAACACTCGAGAAGAAGGGGCGATAAACCCAGTGCGGAATTGAAATATTATATGAAGTATATAAAAGATATCAACGGATGTACGAAGGAGACAAGCAGTGATTTCTAAAGTCACATCCAAATCAAGGCATTTATTGTTTCCATCAATCACTAGGATATAAAAGAACAATGGGTCTATGGCCAATGCAATCACACAAGAGAGCATAAATATTTTGTTCCACCGTTGAAGAAACGAGTCTTGTGGGTCAAGAATTTTCTTTCCAGATTCAGGTTCCTTTGCTGACTGATTAACATGAGAATTTAATGGCTTCTTAAAGCCTTTAATTCTTTCAGATCCCAGTTGGAAGCCTCTCTGAATACTTTCAATAACAGCACTTATAGTTGGCCTAATCCTTCTTGAATATAACCCATTCTCCAAGGATAATTGCCTCTCTGATTCAGATTTTTCTGAACTCCAATCTTCAAACCTGAAAAAAAAAAACAAAAGAATAGATATAGAAAAGAAAACTGCATAGGCCAAGTTTCACCGGAAAAGTAAACTGATCAGAAGCCACCAAAATTGAATCACCAGTAAGCAACACAGAAGAGGATGACTGAATGTTCCAACCCATTAAAATCTTGCGGTCAACATGAATAACGAAAGTCTGGTTTATACTACTGTGATTAACTAATTGATTATGCTATTGAATTTGGCAATTTTTTCAATTCTGTTACTGTATAACATTGTGAATGAATTAAAAAAAAAACCAACAAAACGAGAGGTGCAGCCCAAAGAAACTAACCTTACGAATTTAACACGCCCCATGGTCATAACTTCCTGCTACAATTTTTTTTCCAGTGTCAACTATGAAACCGATTTGTATTTAATTTTTCGCATCAACAAAGTTATTAGGTGCCTTCGCCCTGCAAAAGTTCAACAAAATTTGTAACACAAACTCTTAACTTAAACATAAATAAATAAAATCACACCAAACCATTTTTTATTTTTATTTTTTACTTCTACTGTGATACATAATTAACTAATAAATTATGCTTCTCTCTTGCGAGAAACTGAAACATTTATGAAAAATCAAAAGCATGTTTAAGAAGTGAATTCGTTTCACTAAAGGAACCGTATAAGGGAAGTTACATATTCAACAAAAGAATATTCTATAATTATCCCAAAGATGAGAATAAGAAAAGGTATTGCAAAGATCAATTCTAAACTTTTGAACTCTGCCATTACAATGAAACATTGTAAAATTTCTCTTAGTATAGGAGAAAACTAAAACAATAAGGAAAATTAGAAAAAATCTTTATGTAAATATGGTTTGTTCTCCGGGACAGAAAAAAGAAAAAAACCAACTCTCTAAAGGATTTCTGAAACAGTATTTTCCATTCTTTCAAAAATAAAAATAAAAGTTCTTCGCATAAGGCAAACAGAAACTATAAGAACACGGAGAGAAAGAAAAGTTACACATACTCTTATCCTTATGAACTATGAAACTAAAAGATACAGTTTAAAGAACTGAAAAACAAGATAATATGGTCAAGTAAATGCAGAGTTTTGAAAGGAAAGTTCGTGGGGAAGTCTCTAATGGCAGTTACTGTCAGCGTGTTAAAATAGAAGAGAAAAACAGAGAGAAGACGGAGTCGACTGAAAACAAGAGTCAAGACCCCCGCCACCCTCCAAGAAATTGTTTACGTACAATTTGTATTGGACTGTGGGATCGACATGGGCCTACGGGGACAAAAATAGAACTACACATTTGAAAGTTTTTTAGATATAATTATGATTTACGTTAATGAAGAGACCCAATATCCATAACAATGTTTCCTTTTTACAAGGATAAATCAAAATCAAAATGAACGATATCTCAAAATTTAAAGTGTTATTAGATATTTTAGTGATGGGTCCGAGATAAGCTAACAAAATCGAGGGGGAGGAGTAGATGAAAACATGAAAGGTGAAAGTAATAGAAACAGTTGAACCAATGTGAGTTGTGACATTGGGATTCATCTAATCAAGTTGTTAAAGAAAATAATTAATAAATAAGATGTTTAGTATTAAGTTGGTCATCCAATTCTTCAAGTCAACCAGAGATATAAACAATGAAAATAGTAGGAGAAAGACTTTACAAAATGAGGTCAAGAAATAAATACTTACAAAAGTCACCTTCCATACTCGTATATTTTAGGAGCAACTGGATCTGATTGACATCCAAATCCACATATGATAGGGGAATAGTAATAAATTTATTTATTTAATATATTATGTAATTCTTCGATTTTCTAACTCTATTATGATATGACTAAAACTAATAATTTTCTTTCAGTAAATTTGATTACCGATGAAAATGGTAAGTAAACGATTTAGAGTCCTATTGCGAATTCGTTTTCATTAAAACTAAAGCCGTCTCAGTCTGTAGAAAATGAATGAATATATTTTTGTCACAACCAAGGTACCTAACAGAGAGAAAAATAATATAGGCACTTGTATGAACCGTGCAACTAAAAGGAGAAAGTTGAATGGAACAAGTGGCATAAAATTATAATGAGGAAACTAAAATTAATAAAATAAGGGAGAACGACTTAGACATACCCAAGGTTTATCGAAATGACAAATTGGTATCCAAAAGGTTTTGAAACGATAAATAGGTACCTTTCATCATGTTCTGTTAGTGATTTTCGTTTGATAATAGTGAAAAGACTAAAATATCCTTGAAAGTTTAATATTTTAGTTTTTTATAAATTTAAAAATTTCTAAAAAACCCCCTAAGTTTGCTAATTTGACTAAATACCCCTATATATAAAAAATTTATAAAATAACAAAAACACCCCTGTCACCCGCATGCCAGATTTCGGCCACCACCGCCGGAATCTGGTCGAAAATTGTGTTACGACATAAACCCGTCGGATCTGTATCGTAACGCGCCGATCTGGCCTTTTCCGGCCAGATCCATGGCTGATCTGGCTGGAAAAGGCCAGATCTGGCCGTCGAGGTAGCAGATGGAGTTTTGCGGCCTCGACGGCCAGATTTGGCCTTTTTCGGCCATTTCAGCCACGGATCTGACCTAAAAAGGCCAGATCTACGGCTAGATCTGGCCGTCGTGGCCTTAAAACTCCATCTGCTGCGTCGACGGCCAGATCTGGCCCTTTCTGGCCAGATCAGCCACGGATCTGGCTGGAAAAGGCCAGATCGGTGCGTTACGACACAAATCCGACGGGGTCTGTGTCGTAACGCAATTTCTGGTCAGATTCCGGCGATGGTAGCCGGAATCTGGCCGAAGGTGGTGGGGTTGTTTTTATCATTTAACAAACATTTTATATATGGGGTGTTTAGTTAAATTAGCAAACCTATGGGTTTTTTAGAAATTTTTAAAAAACTAAAATATTAAACTTTAAGGGTATTTTAGTCTTTTCACTGTTAACAAATAGGCACATAATGGAAAGTATCTGTTTATCATTTTAAAACCTTTTAGATACCGGGTAAACCTTGGTATGCGCAAATCGTTTGACCATAAAATAACTCCATTTTGATCCCTGAGAAAAGTCTGTAACTCAATCCTGTTAAACAAATAATACACGCACACGTGGCTATTTAAGTAAATTTCTGAGAAGGCGTTGCAGTCTCTTTTCCTTTGTCTTTTTAAGACTAAGAAAATTTGAAATATGGCAACTGGTCAAATCAAGCAGCATCAATGGATGGAAAAGGGCTATAATTATTATCGAATAAAAATTTGAAGAATAATAATTGAATTATTTATTCACAGTTAATTTACCTAATACAGAGATTTTATGTGGTGGGATTTGGAGAATACAGAAACTGAATAGGAAAAATTATTAAATGCAATAAATCAAGTAGACTAACGACACAATTCTTAAGAAGAAAGTATACAACCGACCATCTGAAATTCTATTATTAATATCTGATAGTGACATTTTGAACCAGTTAAATTATCATCTTAGACTCAAATCTAAGAAGTTAGATTAAAGTAAGAATTTCTACAGAAGTTAGAGAGCATTTATTGATTTTCATTAATTGAATGCCGCGTAATGGAAGGAATGTTGCCGGGCCATTTCTCACCAAAAAGAGTACTAAAATCTTTCTATAGATATTTTACTCAAAAAGGTATAATATAAATAAATATTATTTGAAAAAAAAAAATTGACCCTGCAAACATATATTTTTGGTTCCACCTTGTGTTAATGTGGTTGGCATGAGACATGAGATGAAGTGGATTTCTCACTCAATTTATCAAATTCCAATCATGATACGAGAAACTGATGTGATTTAAAACGCACAGAATAAATAGTTAGTTTTATCTCAGTCATCAAACTTGGCAGATTAATTAAGTTCCCTGCCTTCTGGTCTGGGCCGTCTGGCTTGACCAATCTAATTAGGTATGCATGCAGGGCTGCCGGACATTAATTTTGCGGATTATTTTGAAAGGGTGAACACAATTACAGCTATTAACTACTGTCTGCTCTAAACTTGGCAAAAGGGAAGTTCAAAACATTCTTCCAAATTAAAGTCGCAAAAAAAGAAAAAAAAATCATATATTGAAAATTAAAATTTAATAATTCGCAAAATTGACATGCTAGGTAGAAGTAGAACATTAGTGAGGTCAAATAATCAAGGGGATTTTAAATGGTAACGACGCATAATACATGATCAAGGAAAATGGTCCTCACCTTTCCCATTTATTACAGTTTGATATCCACAATCTGGTAAAAAAAGTAAGAAAATTACAACAATAACATGGCTACTTTTCCCTATTGCAGTCTAATATCAATTAGTCTAGATTACTACAACGCTTAAGAGATCACATTTGTTAATGATAACAAAAGCAGCCTGTCCACTATGTTGATGATGATTGATGAATGACTATTTTATTGCTCTAACTTTCTCCTATCCTACCAATTTCCAATAGAAAATAGCTTCACCTTATTCTAGGATTTCTCTTCATCCGACTGAGAGCATGGCAGTCCCGGGACTGAATCAACAAAGAAGTCCTCCACTGAAACAAGGTAGACCCATTAGTTTGTTACCAATGATACATTAAACCTTTCATCATAGAGAAAAAAGAAAAAGCCAGGAAGGAACTCTCAAGTGCTTTGCTTTAAAAATTGAAAAGTGATGTGATTATTTTTTTCACAATTATTCTACATAACCCATTACCTATGTCGTCTTGATCTGGGGAATCAAGCAAAAGTTCTGAATCAGAGGGCAGAAAAGGGGAACCAGGATAGTTTCCCAGAGCTCCTAAATCTGCAAAAGCACCAAACAATCATAAGGCAAAACATTTCATCAAAAAAATTACAGATGACTAAAATAAATAATAAAGCATAAAACGACGCATTATCCACAATGGGTTAGGGTACAAATGTGTTTAAATAACAACACCAGATTTTAATCTTGATCATATCTACCACTACACTGAATTGGATCTAGAACATACCCCCCAAGTTTGACAAATCCGCTGTTAGATCTGAGAGGCTAAAATTCCACTGAATCTGATCCAGTGATCTAAGGGAGTCTCTAGAATTTCCAGCTCCACCATCCGGTACAAGCTGCAACCCCACTGTACTAGCCACATCAGATGTGAATGTTGTATCAAGTGCACAAGTGTCTACACCCATTCCTGACATGTCTGATGCAGTGAAGGGGAAATGGCCACTAGATGCCACTGATGTAGGACTCACAGCCATCTCTGACATGGATGACATGCCACTGCTTGGAGGAATAACGGGAGCTACTTCTGCTGCACTGTTGTCCATAACCATGCTGCAACAAGAAAAGCAGCTACTTAGCAAAACTTCCAAAAAAACAAAAGGAACAATGGCAATAAGTATTTCATTAAACTGCTAACATTTTGACCTTCCAAAACTTGAGTATCACTCAAGCATACTATAGATAACATACAGTTCAAACGCAAAAACAAACTGAATAAAACATTGAATGCTCAGTAAAAGTGGAAAATTTTCTACTGGAATATCGTTCGATGCCCTAACAACAAGATGATCATGGAACATAACTTCCAAAAATGACCATGAACTAAGTCAGAATTCTATTCCATAAGTAACTATTCTTCAGTTTAAATGTGATAAACTTGTAAGAGAAAGGCAGATACACATTGGATAAATCATCAAGGGGCAATTCATATACATGAAACAAATGCCAAATATCAGAAATTTTACTGCAGACAGTAAGATTCTCACTCATTCCCAGAATTCATTCGCATAGGATGAAAATTGCCTGGTGCTGGTACTCCATTGACCACATGACAACTTGAGATTCCACAACCCATGGAGTCAAGATGAGGTTGACCAGAAGCTGGCATTGGAGGTTGCTGAAGCACTGGATACCCCATAGGTAAGTTGTTAACTGCACTGCAAACAAGAGGCGTTGAATACCAATAACACTGATTAAAAGAAACATTAATAATAATGAACAAGAACAGAAATAACTAGACATGCAAATGATATAGGCATCACTACTAACTTAAACTCTCATTCAAACACACAACTTCCAACACAAATGTTACATCACATAAAATAATCCAAGAACCACATTGAGCAAAAAAATGTTTGGGAGATCTTCAACACCTACAATATCTACTTGTAATGAATGATAACTGAGATGTTTTAAAGGAATCTTACCACCCTAAACTGTGAACCAGCACTGGTAATTGGCCATNTCATCAAACTTGGCAGATTAATTAAGTTCCCTGCCTTCTGGTCTGGGCCGTCTGGCTTGACCAATCTAATTAGGTATGCATGCAGGGCTGCCGGACATTAATTTTGCGGATTATTTTGAAAGGGTGAACACAATTACAGCTATTAACTACTGTCTGCTCTAAACTTGGCAAAAGGGAAGTTCAAAACATTCTTCCAAATTAAAGTCGCAAAAAAAGAAAAAAAAAAAAATCATATATTGAAAATTAAAATTTAATAATTCGCAAAATTGACATGTTAGGTAGAAGTAGAACATTAGTGAGGTCAAATAATCAAGGGGATTTTAAATGGTAACGACGCATAATACATGATCAAGGAAAATGGTCCTCACCTTTCCCATTTATTACAGTTTGATATCCACAATCTGGTAAAAAAAGTAAGAAAATTACAACAATAACATGGCTACTTTTCCCTATTGCAGTCTAATATCAATTAGTCTAGATTACTACAACGCTTAAGAGATCACATTTGTTAATGATAACAAAAGCAGCCTGTCCACTATGTTGATGATGATTGATGAATGACTATTTTATTGCTCTAACTTTCTCCTATCCTACCAATTTCCAATAGAAAATAGCTTCACCTTATTCTAGGATTTCTCTTCATCCGACTGAGAGCATGGCAGTCCCGGGACTGAATCAACAAAGAAGTCCTCCACTGAAACAAGGTAGACCCATTAGTTTGTTACCAATGATACATTAAACCTTTCATCATAGAGAAAAAAGAAAAAGCCAGGAAGGAACTCTCAAGTGCTTTGCTTTAAAAATTGAAAAGTGATGTGATTATTTTTTTCACAATTATTCTACATAACCCATTACCTATGTCGTCTTGATCTGGGGAATCAAGCAAAAGTTCTGAATCAGAGGGCAGAAAAGGGGAACCAGGATAGTTTCCCAGAGCTCCTAAATCTGCAAAAGCACCAAACAATCATAAGGCAAAACATTTCATCAAAAAAATTACAGATGACTAAAATAAATAATAAAGCATAAAACGACGCATTATCCACAATGGGTTAGGGTACAAATGTGTTTAAATAACAACACCAGATTTTAATCTTGATCATATCTACCACTACACTGAATTGGATCTAGAACATACCCCCCAAGTTTGACAAATCCGCTGTTAGATCTGAGAGGCTAAAATTCCACTGAATCTGATCCAGTGATCTAAGGGAGTCTCTAGAATTTCCAGCTCCACCATCCGGTACAAGCTGCAACCCCACTGTACTAGCCACATCAGATGTGAATGTTGTATCAAGTGCACAAGTGTCTACACCCATTCCTGACATGTCTGATGCAGTGAAGGGGAAATGGCCACTAGATGCCACTGATGTAGGACTCACAGCCATCTCTGACATGGATGACATGCCACTGCTTGGAGGAATAACGGGAGCTACTTCTGCTGCACTGTTGTCCATAACCATGCTGCAACAAGAAAAGCAGCTACTTAGCAAAACTTCCAAAAAAACAAAAGGAACAATGGCAATAAGTATTTCATTAAACTGCTAACATTTTGACCTTCCAAAACTTGAGTATCACTCAAGCATACTATAGATAACATACAGTTCAAACGCAAAAACAAACTGAATAAAACATTGAATGCTCAGTAAAAGTGGAAAATTTTCTACTGGAATATCGTTCGATGCCCTAACAACAAGATGATCATGGAACATAACTTCCAAAAATGACCATGAACTAAGTCAGAATTCTATTCCATAAGTAACTATTCTTCAGTTTAAATGTGATAAACTTGTAAGAGAAAGGCAGATACACATTGGATAAATCATCAAGGGGCAATTCATATACATGAAACAAATGCCAAATATCAGAAATTTTACTGCAGACAGTAAGATTCTCACTCATTCCCAGAATTCATTCGCATAGGATGAAAATTGCCTGGTGCTGGTACTCCATTGACCACATGACAACTTGAGATTCCACAACCCATGGAGTCAAGATGAGGTTGACCAGAAGCTGGCATTGGAGGTTGCTGAAGCACTGGATACCCCATAGGTAAGTTGTTAACTGCACTGCAAACAAGAGGCGTTGAATACCAATAACACTGATTAAAAGAAACATTAATAATAATGAACAAGAACAGAAATAACTAGACATGCAAATGATATAGGCATCACTACTAACTTAAACTCTCATTCAAACACACAACTTCCAACACAAATGTTACATCACATAAAATAATCCAAGAACCACATTGAGCAAAAAAATGTTTGGGAGATCTTCAACACCTACAATATCTACTTGTAATGAATGATAACTGAGATGTTTTAAAGGAATCTTACCACCCTAAACTGTGAACCAGCACTGGTAATTGGCCATCTGTAATAGTTTTGACATATGCCATGGTCTTACATGGGTTGTCAGCAAAGACAAACCCATGATTTTTTTTTTGCATAAATGAACACTTACTCTGCACACCTACAATATCTACTTGTAATGAATGATAACTGAGATGTTTTAAAGGAATCTTACCACCCTAAACTGTGAACCAGCACTGGTAATTGGCCATCTGTAATAGTTTTGACATATGCCATGGTCTTACATGGGTTGTCAGCAAAGACAAACTCATGATTTTTTTTTTGCATAAATGAACACTTACTCTGCACACCCTCCCAGATTTAACTTATATTAGCCTTCCAGCCAAAAGTGTTTAAAAGCATCAGTAATTCTGAAGATATAGCATATGAAGACTTAAAAAGCATCTATAAATTTTATTGAGTTATGTTTATGTCTGACATGTTTTCTAACAAGAGTATAATTTAACGTACTTATAAAGTCATACATATATAGAGTTCAACTTTTATCCAAATGTAAGTGCTTTTTGCAATGATTACATGTTATAAAGAACTTACCAGGCATGGGATGAATCCCATTTTGTATGGGAGCCAATGGAAGCTTTGGAGGTACTGGATACTTCATTAGATTATACTGATGCTCAAGCAAATGATTGAATAAAATAATTTGCTTCTTCAGCTTCAGTCTAATGTAATAAGCCCTGAAGAAATCAGCATTTTCTTCTTCCAACTTCTGCCACACTAAATTAACAAGAATGATAAGAAAAATTATGTCAGACTAGACCTCTTCCTTCTGTTTTGAAAATAAAATATAAATCAACAATAATATTGACTTCACACAACACCTCTTCCAAAGAAAACCAAAAATATATTTCATTACACGAGATTTTAAAAATGATGGTATGGTGTACCCTGCAACACAGCCTCAAAGCCATTTTATCTTTTAATGAAATTCAATGAAAAGAAATAAAACCAACATTAATCTCATTAAAACTCATTACAATTGATAAAATGATAGCCTACATTATTCTCACTAAGAAGAATGGAAAGAAGGAGTTTGAGGATCCTACCCAAAGTTGTAAATCCAGGATCTATCCTCGCGCGAGTCAAGAGGGTTTTAACAACTTCATCTCTATTCATATACAACTGTAGACACCTTTCTATTAAGTTCTGGACCTAAAACAACAATTTTTACAAAAGCTATCATCTCCAAAGAAACAAACAACACGGCTAAGCGCCTTAAAAAATCAAATAACATAAAGGAGGAAAAAAAAAAAAGATCTACTGAAAGGAAAAAAGAAAAAAATCCTCTTACAAGTTCAATATCTTGGCGTGAAACTTTTCTTCCATCATTGCTTGATGCAGATATTGAACCAGAGTCTGCCAAAGGAGCTTCTGTTGTTTGGTTGTTTTGTTGATCATTTTGGGATTCATGTGAAACTTGGGTTGAGGATTGTATTTCTTGTGTACTCTGTAAATAAGTCGCTTCATCTCAGTAACAAGTAACAAGTCTTCAGTCATTGCAATTGAGATTCACAGAGAAAACCACCAGATTAAGAATGTTGGACATATTTAAAGGGATCTTATGAGAGTTTGAGAAAAATATAAACCATTAGTATAAAGAACCAATAATACTTCAAAGTGGATGACTAGTGAGTAAGAAGGGCATGCAGCAAAATTTAGGTCCCGGCATTACAGTGGCAAATAATGGTGAATACTCAAGACTCATAAAAGAAGAAACCACTTCAAGCAACAATGAGAAACATAAATTTATGAGCCAGAGATTGTACATAAAACCAGTAATAAGAAAAATATTTCATAGAACCTGTGAGTTCTTCATTCCAGCTGAATGCAAGCTGACAGCATTTCCTTGCTCAGCATATATACTTCCCAACTGCAGCTAAGGTCATATTATTGACCGACACAAATTTGTTGGTGTATAAATTATGACACCTCATATATTGATCCAATTTTCACCTGGAAAAAGGGATAATAATGATAAAACCATAAGGTGAAGAAGTTAAATAAAATGAGCATGTTTCACCAAGTAATTGAGAGTTTAATTATAGACCATAACTCCATCAAAGAGCTTCAAATAACTTAGACACATATACCCAATTTCTCCAATAAGTCATTCTCATCAAACAAACACTATCCCCAGTTCTACACTGCAGCAATTCACTAAGAAACAGGAAGTGCAGATTGACAAGCCTAATTCAATTACCGGTAGAGATAACTAACAATAATGCTTTACAATAAGCATTTCCCAGTAATAGACAGAATGAAACCAAATCTATGTGGTTTGAAACAAACACACGCAGCTCTATAACATAAAACGGAAAATATTTTACCATGTAAGGATAACTCACACAAATTCTAAATACTCAATATCGGAAAGTATGGCAGTGTAATTCATACGAAATAGAAAAACAAAATCAAATTAACCAGATCTCAATCTAGCACGTAAATCTTGATATATAAGATTTCTACCACTACCTAACAAATTAAAAACAGTATCGCATAGCATTTGGAATCACTTACCCTTCAGTTTCGGAAGTAAAAGTTAGGAATGTTTGGCCCAGTATTCTAGAGCAAAGAAAGTGCTGCCAAATTAAATTTGTTGTTAGCTTAAAGAAACTACATGAACTAAGAGAGAGGACCACAAACTTCAAATTAACAACACCTTAATTAGAAATCAAATCTATTTGTGATAAAATTTACCTTTAATAAAGATTCAGTATCTCCAAAACACCTAAAGCATAAATAAATCCAACTTTATTTCGACAAATTTAAAGATCTTCCTTTTCTCAATAACTCGAGAATCGTGCCAAATTTAAATAAACAAACCAAAAAGGGAAAAAAAATTCTGTAACTGAACACTAATAATCAGGGGAGTATATGAAAAATCTCCATTAAGAGCTGAGAATGCACTGAGATTTGAAGATATTGTTGTGTAGGTTGAGAGATATTTACATGAAAACAAAGAGGAGTAATTGGGGATTTCTGAAGTTCACGAGGGTATGAGGTGGGAAAATAAATGACATATTTGTTGATACATAAGCGTTTTATAGGGTTTGGTGTTAAGACATTATTGGAAGCAAAAGTGGAGGAGAGACTGAAGAGAAACAGAGGGAAAAAGAAAAAAGAAAAAAATCTTTCACCGAACAACCTAGTGAGGAGATTCGCTTTTGTAATTATTTTTTCTTTTTTTCAATTATTAATTAATTTAAAAATTAAAAGCGGAGTATATACTATTACTATATATACTTTCCTACTTTTTGAAATAAAATATTCCTTATACGACTCCAACGGTTGCACGACGGCTTCGGTTTTAACGGCGCAATCTGCGAAGTGCGAACCGTCGGACCTTTGTGATCACGGTTCTCGAGGGGTTATTTGATGCGGTTCTCGAGGGGTTATTACATCAAACGGTCTACTTTTAAAAGAAAAATTAAAATTAACGGGTAAAACGTTTGTCAGAGCAGATGTCATGACAGTTTCAGTAAATATAAAAACTTATAGTTTTTTTTTTTAAAGTAAAATTAAATTACTTTTACCAAAAAAATAATTATTAATATTCTAAGAGTCGAATAAAATTAAATTAAAATTTTAAGAATATTAAAATAAATATATTTTTGAGTTTTTAGAGTAGAATAAGACAATGATATAATAGTGTCCCAAAGGAACCTAATTTTAACCAAAAGGTTTGAAATTTTTTTTATTTTGTATTTCTTAACTTCTATCAATGTGCGACTTTTTCTCACTTTGGTGATGGTTAATGATGCTTTCACCTCCATGAATTTTTAAAATAACGCTTTATTAGTTTATTATTCAAAATACGATTATGTTAATGAATTTTATTGTGAAAAATAGTATTATAATCAAAAGTCTATTATAAATAATGATTGAATGGTCAATTAAAATATTTACAAAAGCAGGCACATGTTAGCAGCGTCACAACCAATGGTTTTTGCCTTTTTTGGGGCCAATTCCAACGTCCAAAATCACTTCCAATATCACCTATATACTCCTTACAACCTCCTCTACAAAATCCACACCTCATTTTCCCTCAATATCTCCCCTTTTTTGCCAGTTTTTGCAATTTTTTTAATTCCCTTAATAGCCACTTCCAAACCCAACTTCAACCACCAAAATTCAATCAACCATCGCTAAAAGAACTCGCCAGCCTCTCTACTACAAAAGTCCCAATAAGTTAGAACACGCTCACTCACCATTTGCCATCGGCCAACCCTAAGGTTTCTTGTGGTTGTTTTTATGTTGGGGTTGGTTGGTTGGGGAATTTTTACAAGCAAATGGTGGGTGCCCGAAAAACGACCAATGGACAGCAAACGGGGGAGTGGGGAAAGCCGATTGGATGATGGGTTTTGAAGAGGGGATGAAGGGGGTTCCAATGGTGGTGGAATGGTTAATTTTTAGTGTCCTAATAGATCAGAAACAAGCTCAAAAGATGCGTGTTCGCCAAAAAAAAAAAAACATGTCGATGTTTTCTAGCAATTAGAGGGTGAAAATGAGTGGAGTGAGCTCGGTTCGAAGGTAATTTTGTTTTCACAATGAAAATCGTTATATTTAATGGAATATAACATTTTAATAATAAAATAGTATTTTTAAAGTTTGTAGGTGTCATTATTTGGGTGGAAAAAAATCTTTTACTCCATATATTAATGATTATTAATCTAATAAAGTCTAGTAAAATTGATAAAAAAGAAAATAAATTATTGTTTGGTACTTCCATAATTCTCAGAGGTTTATGAATAATGTGCCAGTGGCATGTAAAACATGACATTATTTACAAGATTAAATTTGTGATAAATATAGAATTATAAACTCTAANGACATTTTTTTTATTTTGTATTTCTTAACTTCTATCAATGTGCGACTGTTTCTCACTTTGGTGGTGGTTAATCATGCTTTCTTATCCATAAATTTTTAAAATAACACTTTATTAGATTATTATTTTATTATTCAAAATATAATTATATTAATAAATTTTATTGTGAAAAAGAGTATTATAATCAAAAGTCCATTATAAATAATGACTGAATGGTCAATTAAAATGTTTACAAAAGTGAGCACATGTTAGCAACATCACAACCAATGGTTTTTGCCTTTTTTCGGGCCAATTTCGACGTCCAAAATCACTTACAGACTCCTCACAACCTCCTCTACAAAATCTACACCTCATTTTCCCTCAATATCTCCCCATTTTTGCCAGTTTTTGCATTTTTTTTAATTCCCTTAATAGTCACTTCCAAACCCAACTCCAACCACCGCTAAAAGAACTTGTCAGCCTCTCTACTACAAAAGTCCCAATAAGTTAGAACACGCTCACTCACCATTTGCCATTGGCCAACCCTAGGGTTTCTTGTGGTTGTTTTTATGTTTGGGTTGGTTGGTTGGGGAATTTTTACAAGCAAACGGTGGGTGCCCTAAAAACGACCAATGGACAGCAAACAAGGGAGTGGGGAAAGCCGATTGGATGGTGGGTTTTGAAGAGGGGGTGAAGGGGGTTCCAATGGTGGTGGAATGATGAATTTTTAGTGTCCTAATAGATTGGAAACAAGCCCGAAAGATGGGTGTTTGCCAAAAAAAAAAAAATGTGGATGTTTTCCAGCAATTAGAGGGTGAAAATGAGTGGAGTGAGCTCGGTTAGAAGGTAATTTTGTTTTCACAATGAAAATCATTATATTTAATGGAATATAACGTTTTAATAATAAAATAGTATTTTTAAAGTTTATGGGTGTCATTATGTCATTATTTGGGTGGAAAAAAAATCTTTTACTCCATATATTAATGATTATCAATCTAATAAAGTCTAGTAAAATTGAGAAAAGAGAAAATAAATTATTGTTTGGTACTTCCATAATTCTCAGAGGTTTATGAGTAATGTGACAGTGGCATTTAAAACACGACATTATTTACAAGATTAAATTTGTGATAAATATAGAATTATAAACTCTAAATTATTTTCATGTTAATTGAATGAATTTTAAATTGTATGTGAAAAATAAAAAATAAATTTTTTGGTTTCCAGTGTGTACCCTTTTTCATTATATTATTTTAAAAAATTAGGAAAAGATAATTAAGGATATATTTGTAAATTCATGTTAGACGATTGTTAGAGTAACACTAACAGATTATGAACAGAAATATTAAAGTGTTGTTTACTAAAAGACTCATCAGAATTCCAAGCAATAGCATGGACGGGAAATGATGACAATAGATAACTTCACACAAAGCTTTTTTTTTTTTTTTTTTCCCCTCAATAAAGTCATAAAGTATTTAATACGCCGAATTAGTCAATTGAAACTTGAAAGAAGAAAAAGAAAAAAAAGAGAGTATTATGCTACAGTGCACTTGTCATAAAATAAGATAATGACAAAATGTGTATGTAATGCAATCCAAGTTGTTGATTGTTGTTTTACTCACTATTCCTGACCTACATAACATGCTTCATAATTATTACATATTATTTTTTATGTTGAGGGGCCCGCTATTACTGTGGTCCAATTTTCTCGCCCATCAACTCGATCCTTTGATTATGAGTGAGATCTTTTACTACAAATCACAAAACACCTGGACCACCGCCCTCACCAGTCACCGCAGGTCCACAATCACGGTTCGATTGACATCAATGCTTCACCCCGCCTTACGAAAATCTCAAATCTTGATCGCATTTCCATTAGCTCCATTTTGGGACTTCACCCATTGGATCATGGCCAAGGCCCTTCACATCAACTAATTGCTTTTTGCTTTTATCAGTACCGTCGTTAATTAACTTTTAAGTTTATTTAGAAACGTTTTAGGCATGTTTGAAATAAGATTTATTAACTAAAATATCAAGTTTCCAACATAACCTCACAACCTTAATGTATAGGTAGATCGGTGCTTTTACGTTAGCTCCCACCACATCAAGACACCAAAGACATTACTAGAAATAATTATTTATAAAGGAATTATTGTTCTTTGAAGAACAACCATTAATTTCATGAAGAATGATTGTTTTTTCCATAAAAAATGATTATTCATTATTTATGAACGATTATTCATTTGGTTGTTCTTTCATAAGAAATGGTCATTTCTTTCGTGAGGAACGATTATTCCTTCATAAAGAACGATCGTTTTCTATAAAAGAATAACTGTTTCTTTGGTCTAGTCAAAATTATTTTGTCGTGACAGTGCTGATTTAATTGCCTTGTTGGGAGTTGTAAGAAAAATTTATGAGAAAAAGTTGTTGGCCTAGTATTTACTCATTTATTAAATATATTATTATATTTTGGTTTTGTTTTTTTTTTTTTAAACCAGTTTAAAATGTGATGAGATAATAAATACAAAATAAATACGTGCAGCCAGGGTTTTACAACCCGACCCATGGAGTGACCCGGTCACCAAATTAGCCGGTCGAACTGGTTCAACCGTCAGGTCGAACCGTGATGTCATCATATTGATGTCAGTATGATGACGTCATTATGACATATAAAAAAAAAAAAAAACGGTTCAACTGTTGGTTCGAACCGATTAGATCGATGGTTCATAACAAAAAATTCGATACAACCGCGGTTTAAAATGGATTATTTGAAAATTTCAATTTTTTAGTCAAACCAACTTGTCTCGATCACTGGTTCTCGGTTCAACTAGTTGAGCTAACCGAGCCAGACCAAGTTTTAAAACCATGCCTAAAAAAAGCATGAGATTTATGGACCTTATCCGAATGTTGCAATAATTCTACATTAACATTTGAATCAAATAAATTAAAAAATGAATTTGCGTTTTTAATTAAAATTTTCTAACACACAGAGCTGAGGATACTTAAATTCCTTCAGTGGCTTTAATGTAGATAAATCGTGGAACTTGTAGCTGGCTCGTCTCGTGAACCATCACGAGCCAAGCATGCAATGCACGTGATAAGATTTAAGGACGCAGTTAATCATTATTTAAATGGTTATTAACATAAAAAGGTAAAATTAATTAAGAGAACAAATAATTACTGTCAGGAGAAAAGTATTAGAAAGTGACCAATGGAAAAAAGGATACATGTGACGGCTTCTGTTTCCTTACACACACCAATCAATGAGATTAATCACATATGGATTTATCTTGGCAATATTGTCAGAACGGTTACCATTCAGATTCGTCT